ATCTAGAAAGCATTCTGTTAATTAACTGCGGACTGCACAATCATTAGAAGAGGAAAAATCGGAAGATATTCCAAAAACCTAAATTAACTTCACATTGTAGTATCGATTTCCAGCGAACTCTTAGCTCATCATCCCTTTTATATCAAGTGCCATCAAGCGGTTGTTTCTGACTTTTTTAAGCCAATGCTCGACGATCATCCATAAGCAGCCCTCACGACAATGGACCAAATTTTGCAAAATTCGGTTAAATTTTGTCTGGAGCGAACACATTTTTAGGAAGAAACCTTAATTGCACAAAATCGAAAAAAGAGCAGGAGCAAAAACTTATTTTTCAATGCAATTAATGTATGTGTAATGACTATCAAAACTATAAAAAGAAAAGCAACCAAGCCGCTCACCCCGAACAGAACCCCTCCATTGGCTGGCAAAAGGATTTTTAAATTGAGCGGCAGACGCCTTTGTTCGAGAGAAAATTTAAAAGTCTTTCGGGGGCCCAAGCGTTACGTATACACGTTGCGGCCGCAACCGTGCCCTTCTATATATTTTCTTTTCCTTTTAGTTGTTCAGGTCAGAGGGATTCTTCTTAAGTCTCCATGATGAGTTTCGCCCTTACTTTCGCAGCAGAAAAATAAACATTAATGAATAGATTAATTTCGATACTCACCGTTTGATTGAAGTTGCAGCCACCTTTCTACTAAAATTTAAAACAGTAACCCTTAGAGCCGTTGTGTTTGCCTCGAAATTTTATGTGCTTGGTACCCTTTTCGTTCCTATTCAATCCATATCAGGATACGCTCCGACTGTTCGACTAATTAAGGGCTACCGTCTGTTATCAAAGTCTACGTTATCAAACCGACCTCTTTGGCTATAAGGAGGTCTCAAGATGAAAATTAACAATAAGGGAATCTGTTGGATAAATTTGGCGGAAACAACGAAAGTGCTATCTTCAAGGAATATAGTGTGCAACGGAACAATGTGAAAAGCTTTATTTGCAAAAGACGATGGGATTTTGGAGGTAATTTGCTCGGCCGAACCCTCCAAAACCTTAAATTGCTCGACACCTGCTTGCCAAAGAGCACGTGTCTTCTATCTTCTGGGGAGCCTGGAAGCCCTAGACATCCGGCTCCCTCTCCTTGACTTAATCGATTCCTACTACTCTGACCGCAACCAAAAGGTCTTAGTAGGTAATAGCTACTCGACGCCTTATCTAATCAAGAGTGACGTTTTTCAAAGCACGGCCTTGTGCCCTCTACGCGTCATTCTGTACATAAATGATAGTTCATCCGTGCTCACCTGTCCACATCATATCATTTGCGCTAAGTACACAGCCAATATTCGCGTTGCTTATATCACTGCTGACCTTCTTGAGCTCTCGCGCTGAAGATTAGTTTGGCAGTTGGAGTGTCTCCATCGGACTGTTATTTCATTCATTGTTTGTCCTTCCAAGCCCTCTGGACCCCTAGTCTTTGAAAATAGTCCATTGTCAGGGCAATCTGTCATAAGGGACTTAGGTCTTAGTTATACGAACAGGCTAGCATTATCGCCCCATACAGATTGAATTTCTGCAAAAGCTGCACATGTATGTGGTTACATATCACACAATGTCTTTCCTTCCCGAGGTAATTTTAAACTGTACCACATGTTTGTTCTTCACATCCTAGGATATTGCTGTCCCCTCTTTTTTTTGATGAACGCCACTGACCGCAGTGGGATTGAAAATATTTATAGTATTTGCTCAAAGACTATTTCCTCTTTCTGTATCCCGTATCTCTTATACTGAGAAATGTCGGTTAGCGAATATTAAATTTCTGTGAGTTAGAATACTTGAAATTGGCCTATGCTGAATCGCCTAAATTCTATCTCTGATCTCCCTCGTATTAACGCTCTCACCCCAGTAAATCAGCTATGATCGTTTCACACTCCCTTCCTCTACACCTTATCGCCCTTTTTTGCCTCCAAGTATGCTTTCCTTTGGAATAATCTTCTAGTTAAATTACAATGTCGTGTAGTGCCGCCTAGCGATATTAAAGTCCGAATTACGGAAGTATTTAATTGTTGGAAGATACAAAGTCAGTATTGTCCGTTGCATTCCCAACGACATAACTATTGAGCTTTGACAAGGGTCCTCGTGGGATATAACGCGGTTCTCTTGATATTTATTATTTTCTAAATCTTATTCTCTGCAGTGTCACAATGAATTAGCATGCTTAGACTATAGCCTTCGTTTTCTCCTCGATTCAGTCCTATGTGAAGTGCGACGATTTCGTGAGCCACTGCACTCTGTGGTCATAGTCTACATGTCCTCTCTTCTGTCGACAGGCAATGGACTGTTGAAATTGTGGTGGATTCTTCTGTTCCTTCTACCTAGTCGGTAGTCTCTGCCATCAGCAACGGCCAATCGCGGTTATACAGCGGTGAACCATAGCCGTTGAAGTTATAAGATTGCTCCAAAGACAAGGAGCGTCTCGGACAGCCACATACACTCATCAGCATGACGCGAATATTTTCCTCCCATTAGCGATTGCTTGTTATTTTCTCCTTAAAACCCCCCAACTCTCTTTCAACTTACAGACCTTTCGAAAAACATCCAAGGAGTTTTTTAACTGTATAGTATTAATCTTTCTTTATTCTTCGCGGAGCAGTTGTTTCTACCCCAGTTCTTTTTGAAAGTGAGAGCTCGCTGAACTCTTTCCCTAATTTCTTCGTAAGAATTCTTTCCACTTCTACTTTCTCACTTCACCGTATTTTTTAAATGTTAATATCGGCTGAACAAGTTTGGAATTTTCCACATCCCTTCTCCATCAAAACTCTCGTCTGACCTACAAATGATTGTTTACCTCTCACGAAGGCTGTCACCTTCTACCCTCGAATGTTGGCCGCCCTCCTGTTTTTATTTTTTCAATCGATTGCACATGACTGAATACTGCCTCCTGCTCCCCCGTTTGGTTCCCACGATTCTATCGACTCCCCACTGATGCCAGTCGTTTCGATTCCCGGAGATGAAATCCCGTGAAGTGACTTTGTAGTAGAGAGCCAGTTGCCCGTTTCTCCCCCTCCCTCTACTCGACCCAATTGCCGTGGCTACTCCGAGAACCACTCATCCACTCACCCCGCCGCTGACACTTTCATATTGCCTCTGTTCACGAACCCCCCCTTTCGTGCTAGTGTTTCACTCCAAGTCTGATGCTGCATGAATTGTCCCGTGAAATCATATAAAGGCAGAGCCACTCCCTCTCCCACTAACCCACACAAGCTTTCACAAGACTAGTTCGCCCTGCGTGGCGTCGTTGTCGAACTTATGTTGTTCCTTTGTATAGAGTCAGGCGACTTGGCCAACTCCCTTCAATATGACGTCGTGTATCCCCTGTTGAAGTTTGTATATTGTTTTTCCGTTAGTATTTTTGCTTACTAGTACCGTCCTTCCTTGATAATTGTTATCCTCGGGTTTGACGTACGCGTGACTGCTGGATACAGAGTCAGTGAAGTCAAGAAGAAGAAACACTAAAGATAGTTAATTTTCGTTTAAATAAACCAAGTTGTTGGTAGGTGTGAGAGATTGCTTTTTTTACTGCTCATTTATGATATTTAGTTGGCTTCTCACACAAAGCATCAACTTGAATATTATCAGTATTTACCATAGTACTAAGTTTGTTATGACACGGACCTCTGGATGCCTAGGATGTTAAATGACATTCTTACGCCATAACCAGATCGGTGAATTCCTTTGTATCATCAGAGTCCCAATCGCAAACGACAAAAATAACGAGACCGTGGTGCAATGATTAAACGGTCTGGGTTCGAGCCGGATGATCCACATGTAGAATTGAGGATGACTGGGTGT